TTCGTCTCAATCACCCGGCTGCTTTATCTAAGACATCAATGATCATTAATTATAATTATATCCCACACGCATAATAAGTGTTCACTTAAACTTAAATGTAAATTTTCATTTTATGACGGGTGACACAAAAATCAAAACCCATAATTTTCTTAATTAACTCTACCGGAATAAAAATTATCTTTAACACTTGAACTTCTGTTTTAGAATGATTGTACCCACAAGGGGACCGAAACAATTTTCTGAAAGAGCGTGAAGCTAATTAAATATATTTGTTAGACTTGATCTTACCCGCCTTATTTGTTTTTAAAACTAATTTCATCATTTACGTTTCATCCACGTATTTTCAACGTGGTTTTTGAATAAAACATACTTTCGCCTTACTATCTGTTATTTGTAGCCTATTGCTAACACGTTAATTTTGAGGTGGGTTGCGAGATTTGACAAACCTAAAAATGAGGCGCGATTTGAAACGTTTGAGAAACACTGATCTAGAATATGTTCCAAATGACCGTTTTTTTTGCGTTTTACCCTGCACATATCTAAACTTTTTGAAATCCACTTATTGGTAACTTTGAAATTCCGGTACTCCCGTAGTGTGTGTATACCAACTACCAGGTTAGGGTTAGGCCATAATATTATTTCGATTTTTCTTATTTTAGTTCTATTACGAGTTCGGGGACTGTCTGTTTTAGCCAATCGAATATAACCCCCGATCATAGGCCTCAGTACCTTTACACAACTTGATGTAAAATAGGCGAACAAAATTAGTTACCTCCAAATTGGTACACACACTTCTGGAGCGTCGAAATGCTAGTAATATTTACCGTAAATGCGAGGTGTAAATTGAATGTAAAGTGTAAAATTACAACTAAAAAGTAAATTTATTCTTATATTTCAAAACTTACAAATTTATCGAGTGCACACTGAAAATCAATTTCTGTGTGGAATATGATACATACACGGGGATTATATCCGTTTGTCAAAGTAAGGCTTTAATTAGGACGAATCATCAATAAGGAGATAAAGTATATTACTATGCTATTAAAAAGACGAGCAAAATTAACGTGAGTTTCACAGTCCAATAATAGAAGCTACAAAAATTATCGGATCGTTTGTGCAAAGTCCCCGCCAATGCTCAAAATAAGGAAATTAGTAATAATATCGTTTGTCATATAATCGAAAATGCCTAATTTGAAACATGGCACTTGGAATAGAACTCATTCTTAAATACGTGATGTACAAAATTTTAAATGTATTATATTTCTTTTATAATGCGCTGGAAATTTCTAATGAAAATTTCTGGCACACAGCGTTGTTGTGGCGTTGCACCCCCTAAATCTCGTATTTGTGTATTCGTGTTGGGGGTTCCGCACAAAAGATCAAAAGTCTCTTTGATTAGGGCTCTGCGTCACTCACTAATTCATGAACTGTTTCAACAAGTCTCGCACTTCTGCGCAATTATTTCCCTAAATATTAAGGACACGTATAATTTCTGGCTAAGACCGTTATTACCAAACTCTGGGCTTTATTATTGTCCTGCACTACGTTTAATTTCGTAATTCAGAAAGTCCAAATAGACGCGGCGCTGACGAGCGATAATTGGTAGACGCTTTATCTCGACCAAACATGGTCGTTGGAGCTAAAGTAAGACGAAATTCGCATAGTGTGAATACCATTGGTCTGGTATGAAATCTGGCTCGTGTTATTGTAAAACAGTGCACAAGTTGCCATTCCTCAAGAATTATCTAACGCAATTCTACAGCGCTTATGAAATTAAAACTGACATGAGGTGTTCTCGCAAGAAAGGGAGTGTCGTGTGTATACCACCCACATATCAAGATAATAAGCGTTTGTGCAATTGTATTTGTAAACATTACATATGATCGCTGTGGCTTTATAAACAAAGTTATATTGATAACAACACCAGGTCACGCGAACTCAGTACTCAGTACCGTCCGCCACTATATTAGGTGTGGTGATGAAAATAAAATTTGTTTTCTGCTAGATATATAATCAGGTGTATAAATTTACATGTATGTGGTAGTCTCATCCACCAAAGATCTTTTCCTCGAGAAAGCCTTTTGGGCGAGCGATCCGGTTTATCATTGACCGCACTTTACATGCTCGCCCCGACCCATTTCTCTACGTCAGTGTTTCCCAAACTTTTTGGGCCACGTACCCCTGTTGTTCTATACCCCAATCTATACAGTATGAATTCCTGTATCTAACAATGAAGAAGTATACGGCTGCATTTGCATGGCAACAACAGATACAATATTGATATGTTGGTTGAGATTGCTTTCGACTAGCAATTTGTGACAAAAAAACTCGTAGCGCCGATTCTACGTAAGCCTGAGCCTGTTTTTTGTTCATAAAATTGGTGCTGAAAATACCGTCTCACACATATAAATATTTTTAATTACTCTTCATGAAAAAATAATATTCGTCCACAACGCACCAACAAAAAGATGTAATGGCTAGAAATCAATCAAAAAATCGATCAGACTCTTTTCATTTCGTCGCGCACCCCAGTTTGGGAAACCCTGATCTACGTTATATATATCTATTTGACATAGAATACACCACTATTTTTCATTCCCGAAATGTTTGAACGCAATTAGATTCATTTGCCCTCTCTTCCACTAGAGATGCATGATATATATCTCGGAAAGGTGTTTTCAACTTTTCTGTTATGACGTCACGGATTCAGAGGATTCGATTTGAGTTCATGCCTATTACTCAGATTCGTCGAATCCCTGTATTATCAGACTCGTCCCATGCCATAGAGTCGCATAGACCATATACGACAAATATAGCGCTGGCTTCTTCTGTTATTATTTGCTCTTGACAAGACTAGACATTGACTAAGCATTTACACAATGAGCAATACCTACCTAATGCAGATAAGGCTTAAAATTACTTCCTAAACCCATTAAGCTCTAACATCTTAGACTTTACCTTGTCTATGAATCACAAGATAAGGGCTTTAAAATTTGAGCGCTATGGAAGTGTGTGTACCAATATGAAGGTAACTAAATTTTACATCAAGTTGTGTAAAGGGACTGAAATCTATGGACAGAGATATAGATATTCACTTGGCTAACACAGACAGTCCCAAACTCGTAATAGAACTAAAATAAGGAAAATCGGAATAAAATTATGACCTAACTCTAACCTGGTACACATACTACGGGAGTATCTAAATTTGTGATCAGGACTGACATTCTCAATCGCCGTGCTGCATTTGCTTCATTATATTTGGATTTTTTCACGCTTACTCGTGACCGTCGCTCCGAACAAGGTCATTTACAAGCAACTGGTATCTCTCGATACGTAAGGCGCTTTCACCATTTAGAAATAACTAGAATCGTTTTCCAAGGAAGGATTGCCTACAATTGATTACACCCTGAGTACTCCGGAGTATAACCGGAAGTATTCCAGTCCTATGCATGCTTTCACGCTAGTTTATAAATTGCATTTTTAGAAGCAGCGCGATTTCCGTTTTTAGGCTCATTGGACACGTCAGTGGACATAACGACCGTTTCAATATTATGTTGTTGTTCTTGTTTTTCTTCTCCTTCGTCATGATAAAATCGCTTTTCTCTTCGAATACTGGACCAATTGCTTTGAAATTTTCAGTGGTTAAAAATTGATTTTTTTTCCCAAGAAGGCTATTACTTTTACTTATTTCAAATATTTCTGTGGACTGTAAGAGATTCGTTTTTTATGTGTCAGAATAAAAAATAGCGATACCTTGTGAGTCGTGACGTGTCCATATATTTGAGCATAGATCTCTTGTATTTTAAATCAGATCACATAAATCTTACAATTCCGATTTTCCGTATTTTAGAAGAAATACAGACATCTCAATATTGAGTCACAAAGCCAAATATGTTTTGAATTATTACCGAACAAAGGGAGTCATAAACCATAATCTTATTATTTATCAACCCGTGTATTTTCCCGTCGTGACATTTTAGGAATTTTTGAACGGACCATGTCTGATCGTAGATATATCACGCGTCCAGGCATGGGACAGGCTAATCCAACAATAACTTAATCGCACTACAAAAAATTTCCGTTAAAATGAGTAATATTTTGAAGTAAAGAAAATAGCAAACATGCACTAGGAGTTTATCAAAAATAGGAAAATTTCACAAGTTTTTTAACAGTACAGACTGGAAAAATACTGCTTTCAAGGTCGCAGACGAATTACGCGGTAAATTGGTGAACGATTCGGAAATAATGTCGCGAATAGAAAACAGTTTTAATATTTGTGTGGTGGGGTAACGCCCACCTGAGTCACACCCATTTTGATCGAACAAGATTTTTATTTCAATTGGGAAAGGAGATAACGGTGGATATAGACTCCGGCGGTCGGCGGCCATTGTGTTAGGAATACGTTCGCCACCCCCCTCAAATTACTCTGCATGGGTTCTCAGGTTCGAATCCCGTGGGAGTTAATTATGTGCGAGAGAATTGCTGGACTCCTCATCATAAGTGTTTAACGCAACCTTTAGTTTGTTACGGTTTCCTCCACCACCAAGTCCATGCATTTAAAAACAAATTTAAATATAAATAAGGGGGCAACATTTGAAAACAAATGCATGGCTAACTATAATCAAACCGACAAAGGCTGGTAACCAGACCAGAGACCGTGGTTCGCCATATGATTAAGTCGTCTTATCGAGTTTTCTCTCCCGAGATAAATATGATAATTTTATCCTAACTAATAACATAACTATAACATAAACTGTTTCGATACAAAAACTACCGTACGATTGAGGGGATCTAGTTTGGAATATGGATGGATATATGGCCTTAACCACAATTTGGATGGCCTCTTCCATAGCGGGATGATATTTGGCTGCCATACAGACAGCATGTATGATTCCAAAGCAGAAACACGAGATATATACCGCCAATCGAGTATAACGTAAAGCCGTTTAGTTCGAAGAAAATAAATTCCAAGAAAATATGTTAAATGGGTATTAGCATACCTGTCATCCTTAGCCAATTGCAGTAATATATTCGTCGTTGTGCTTTTTAAATTCTTGATTTTCCCGCCTTTTCCATCCTTCGATATCACTATGACGTCATAATTATTCTTCATTAATCTCAGACGATCAATTATAGCGGCATAACTCGTGAAATTAAAAATGTACAATCCAGGAAACGGGGCAATAAAATACCCCGTTTTGGAGTTGAAACCACCCCCAAAATTAGTCTTTCCCGCCTCGAATATCAGAGGCTTATGCGTGGTGTGTGAATATTCGAAATACGAGTGACTGTAGACCAAGAATTCTATAATATTTTGCGGATCTGTCGTGTCCTTTATTCCGGCGAAATTTTGTTCGATACCGGGGATGTCTTCGGCTGAAGAAACTCCGAGCAGAATAGCCAGATATATAGGAACAAGCTTCATATTGCTCTAATATTATGAATAACACTGATAGGTCCTGTATTTAAATATCCATAAATAAATATAGAGTGGAGATTTATCTACCACGTTTCTTATTTTATATACAGGGTGTCTAAAATCTAAAAGAATTCGCCCGATTTCATAATAATAACAATTGTAAGTTTACCTAAACTTTCTTGTATGATAAATGAAAACTACCAGCACAATAAGACTTATTAATAAACAAAGAAAAAGAAATATTTAATTGTGAATACTATAAAATCGGGCGAAATTTTCTGGACACCGCATACTGTATCACGTGTCCCTACTCAACTCATGAAATTGCCTGAAGACCGATACGTTAGTCGCACTTCACTGTTTACAACTGTATCTATAACTACACCAACTTTAATCGTCTTTCGTACGAATTGCCACAATACTTGCCGAAATAATACTTCAAAGCAAAAGCCCATATATGCGGTTAATTAAGCTGCAATCATACGCGTCATAAACTGGTAACCGTACGAGATTATAAAAAAAACAGATTGAAGAACAAGTCTGAATCAAACACCTGTGTAACTGTTTCCATACCTGACATGAACTGTAGGCCGGACGAAAAGCTTTGGTTCACCATATATGATTGATAAATATCGCCTTGCCTTTCTCTGAGATAAAATAAAAATCCCATAAGATAAACATGCATTTCAAAATATCCGAAAAAACAAAACAACTTTTTATGGAGAGTCTCACCTTAAGCAAACACACAACTGCAATTCGACTGCATGTATTTCCATTTTATTCTCTCCGCAGTATGCAAACATTTTTTCTTCCGCCAATTACGTCACTGGGAATTATTGCTTTGCATGTATGTTGCAATTCATTCCACGCATATTTTAAATGTTTTAATTCAATTACTTTACGTAGGACGGACGAATATGGCGAAGTTGTAAAAATGACGTCAGAATCATGACGTCATGAATTGTTCCGATTCAGTTCAACCAATTGATAATAATGCGAGATTAAATTAGGATTCTTCGTATTCATTTCGGTGAGAACAAGTCGTAAACGATAATTTTTTACAACGCTTATTCACGCGTTTCGCTCCAAATAAGACTCTTTGCTGGCAGTCACTGATTACGACTCGGCATTGCTTATGCCAGTGGTTTCGAGAGACCACAAAGCAGTTTAGGGAGGGCGCAATTCTAGACGCAAAACTGATTTTACCCTTCGCTCTGAAAGAACACTCCCTGTTATTCGTAGTATCATTGCTGACAAGGTTATTTTACGGAGTGTTTTCACTTTGTTGAGCATGAATTGCTGGAACCTAATGGGACTCGGAATCTACCAATCAAAATACCACTGTAATGATAAACATGGAGACCATGAGTGCTCGAAGCCCCGGGAAAGGCCATAAAAGGTTGAGAAACACTGGCCCATACCCAATTTATTGCACCCTGGGTGGGATGAGGGCACGGATTTTAACCCTGAATGTGTAATCTGTGATGCAAATATCGCTAAGCCTAATGCTTTAACCCAGTGGTGTGGTTCCCAACCCGTGGGCCAATTACAGCTCGCGTAGCGATTTAATATGGCCCGCCGAACTTGAGCGAAACACTAGTTTAACGTTTACGTCAGTATCACAGTTGAAGCACGGGCACTCACCTCACCCGCCCCGCGAATATTCTTCCGCTTCTAAGTTTAGCCCTCGGAAATCAACGTTGGGAACCATTGCCTTAATCGCTAAGCCAACTAGTTACTGCTCAATTTTAGTCAAACATACGAACTTTTTATCAGTTTGTGTAGCTAATTGGTAGCTTGTTCTACTTGTGAAATAATATTTATTTTGCAACTTATGATTAGTTTGCGAACAGGAAGAGCAAACACACCTTCGAGTGACTTTTGATCCCATCTTACAAAACCTTTGCTCCGTGAGTGGAAGTATTTGAAATTATGAAATCATAAAAATATAAATTTATTTACCACTCGAAATGATTCTCATGGTAAGGGATACACTGTCTGAAATATGAAAAGAACTCAAGTCGTCTCACGTACTTTCCTATCCTGCCAAAATGAAGTATCTGAGCTAGATATGACTTAAGTTCTCGTGGCGCCTGGTAAAGCGAGGTTATGTATAAAAATAAACACTGAGTGGGGCGCATCGTCTTTCATCTCCTCTCATATCGAAACGAAATGCATCATAATGTAAAAATGAACAAAAAACATTACCCACATCGTTTTCGCTACCTAAGAAGCATATGTCCTCAAAAGTATCTGAACTATATCTGACCTGATACACGAATATGCATGGTAAGGTAAGGATATGCTGGAAGGAAATATAAATAAGCGATAAGTCACCCCATCCTCTTTCCAACCAGACTGATACAAACCCAACACTGCGGTTCCAAATGATCCTAAAAGTGACGCTTTTTAGGAGCGAACTATATCTGATACTCGTATCTCCTAAACAGCAACATAAAAGGGCAATAATTCGTCTCATCAGCTTCCTTTTCCGGTAGCGTAGCCAGGAATTGTCAGAGGGGACTAGAATTTCAAATTACCAAGTTAGATCGTAACAGCTAGCGCGTCGGGGTCCGCTTTTTTACCACTCAGACGGAGGGCGACCGTCAACCCTGGCAAGGCCACTGTCCCTCCCGCCAGACTAAGACAAACTCGAGTCTAAAGCAGTGCTCTTCAAACGGGTACACAGTATACCCAAGCGTATACCGGACCATAAAATGGGTATACATTTAAGTGTAAGATATACAAAGTTCTTGAAAAATTGTAAAAGTATACCACGGTAAAAAAGGTTGATGAACACTTGTCTAAAGTATAAATAACTGTAAACCCGTCATCGCTTTACCCTACCTATGAAACACGTATATTTAATCTAATACTTGAATCTGTCTCATAAAAAGGGACTAAGTTGAAATCTAAACCGTCTCATCGGCTTTTCTATCCCACCAGACTAAAAAAAAACGGATCTCGAAAGTACAAGCAAACTTAATATGGCACTACCCACAAAGCACGTATCCTCCCGCATTTGTGTATTGTATAAACATTTATAATCTATGAAGATCAGTGCCTAAAGGCATGCGGAGAATGTCTGGCATAGATTAGAAATTTCTCCCATAAATCAAACACTCCCCTTAGATGTATAAGCCCAAATAAAATAGGCTCATATATGACACAAGCTTAAAAAATGTTATCGTTGACTATTATGTTCTTCTGAAACGTAGGAAATTAGTGGTAAAGATAAGAGACAAATTCGTCTTGTGATTTAGTCTTAGGAACAAAGCTATCTCGTCTAATATCATAAATATTAAAACTATAGCATAATTCTACGCTAAAGAATTTTCTAAGCGCGATCGCTTTGTGATTAGTGTGTTAGAAATGTCTGTACTGGCGTCGCTTGTTGACGATGTCCGGTTAACCATTTATCCATGTTCCACGGTGAAATAAATTTGGTCAGCTATTGTCTATACCGCAAAATCGCAATTTTCAAATATAACAGCCAAACCTAGAATTGGTCAGACTACAGGTATGGTGAAAGATTTTATACTACTAAGTGTTGACCTTCGTGTTGATAAAAAATTTCTCTCTTGTATAAAATTTATTTCAACATAAGCAACCACATTATTCTTCTCTAACGAGGTGCCTGACTATGCACAGCTTGAATCCTGTTATACTTTCATTGGACACAAAATGGACCTATGGATTGTTTTGATATTGTTGTTCTTGTTTGTTTTTTTTTCGTTGTTACCGTATGAAAAAATCGATTTAACCCCTTGTTAATTGCTTCGAAATTATCAGTGGTTGAAGATTGGATTTTTCGCTGGAAAGCTTTTACTTTTGTTTATTTCAAACCTTCTGCGGGCTCTATATGTAATTCGTTTTTCACTTTGATATTTTGTGTGATGAGCTGGCAAATGAATACAAATTATTTGTATGGGTTCTTCGACCTCTCTCGTGCTCTCTTTCTACGCGAAAATCGGAAGTTCTTTGATGGCTCCGTAAGCTTAGAAGGTAAAGTAGACTACTGCGTCGCTTTTGTCTTCGTGTTCATATATTTAAGCATCGCTGAGTTGTTTTAGGTCGAATTATTCCGTTAATATTGAGACCTCCTATGGCAAGTCCTATATCAAAATCGAAGTCATCCACAAACCCACATTACGGTACTGTATAAACACTGTAAATTATGAATTGTTACTATATAGGAACTGAGCTAACGACCTTGAAACCGTAATCTATAGGTTGTAGTAATTAACATTTTGCCCGTGGCCACCCTTCCACCTTAGACTTTCAATCCCCACTTCCGTCCAAGTACTACAAACAATAATATAGTATCAGTCATATATGAACGAATTATGAGCTAACTATCAATTTCAACAAGTGGATTATTTGGTATGAATTGAGAATGTAATCGTATTGTTACGAAACAAACATGTGGTTGTCTGTTACTAGGGTCAACGACCAGATTTCGCAATAATATGTCAATAGACTTTTACTATGTCGAATTGTGGAATTCTGCAACGGGTAAACATTTATTCAGTTGCTAATTTAATAGGTTAAAGTTTGCCGTACACTAAAATGGATATTCTCATGTTTTTTTCTCATATATACTTTTTAGGCAAAATTGTTGTAAAAAATTATATACCGGTACAATTATGTTTTGAAGTATACATTATGGGGTTGTAGAAAATTTATTCACAGAAAATCTAGCGAAGCAAGTTTTAAACTTACCGTGGTAACCAAACTGGTGGATGTCATCCAAATGGCGTGGGGGAGAATATCCCATCATATTCCCAACAAAACCATTTCTAGATTATTTAGTTGCGACACACTAACTCAAAACAATTTGCCCTGGTTGGGGGTAGACAGTGAATGTCAAAACAGTATGATGATCTGAGAATTTCTACAACAATGAATCTACCAACAGCTGCACAGCAAACAGAAACTTTGATAGGATTACATGGTCTTCTGGTGCGCAATACACATCAATACATTTTCACTATCAAGAGACTGTCTAGCCTAGCGCCACGTTTCATATTTCTTCACGGCGCCAC